ACATGAAAAGGTTGACTGTTTTTGATTATAGATGTCTACGATCTCTTTCTCACGCTAGGTAGTATAATAAGGTAAGAAATGTTGACGTTAGGCGTAAAGTGTTGGGCAAAGAGGGGAAATCAATTGAAAAGGCTATAAAGTTACATAGACTGAGATGGCTAGGTGAAGTGCTGCGCATGCCTAACCATCGCCTCCCCCACCCCGACGGGCATTACTAGCTGATATAGGTGCAGGTTGGAAAAGAGTAAGTGGTGGCCAAACAAAAACATGGCATCAATCCATGAAATCCTTGACAGTTAAACTGAGTCAGGTAGGGAGATGCAGACTTCCGGGTTGGGGCCCTCGGGACTCTAAGAATCAATGGCTTGAGACACTAGGTGACATGGCTCAAAATCGTTGTCAATGGCTTACGCAGATGTATTCAGTCTCTGTAATCTTTCATATTCCTTTCTACCATTACTCATTCTGTTTCACTCATATACTTGTCAAAACTCTATTGATTCTCTTCACTCATCTTCTTGTCTACCTTTGTGTGCTATTTGGAACGTGGCAACTCGAACCGCTGCACTTTGGTGCCAAGTTCTATGTTGCATCCAGACTTCTAGTTAGGAGGCAGATTTCAAAGAGAAAGTTGTTATATGATGCAACCGTGTTCAATGAGATACATCTGTCAGTGTACCAGGATGTCATTAAACTGCAGGTCCGGAAACCCACATATAACTGATTTAAGTGGTCCGAGATTCAAACCAAAGGCCATCGTGTTGTAACATTTTAATAGCTACTATAATACTATATAGATTTCTTGATATGCATTCCACGAGGCTGTTCTTTGATTACTTGTATCCTGGGTCAGATTTATATTATTTCAGTTGGATCACAATGTCAGTTAGTTATAGCAAATAAGTAGAGAGTTCTAATATATATAATTCATCTAGATAAGTGACAAATTAGCAATATACAAAATATAATGCTGAATACAAACATGTTTAGTATTCAAAACAAAATGATTTGGAACGAACAGTTATTTTCGATAAATTCTACCTCACGCACTACATTTATAGATCCATGAATATTACAATACAAATAGCCATTAAAGGCATGTGAAAATTATATCCGATGCTGTATTGGCCTACACGTATATTATAATATGGAGTGACAGTTCGGTATTTAATATTTATTGTCAAATGAACGCATATAACGAAAATGTGCAGTCATTCAGAACATAAGATAAAGTGTGAATAGACAAATGAGTGACATGCTAGTGTTTTTCTAGTCAACAGAATGTAAGTTTCATTGGGGGTGGGGGTGGAGGTGAGTTATATTCAATGGTGTACGAGGAAAATGATTACCAGAAAACACATGCAAAGAAATACCAAAAATGGGGAACATTGACTGATATCAAGTGTGTAGTGATAAAATAAAGAGATTGAATTGTGAACTGTAACAAAATACTAGAGACATAGTAAGCTTAGTGTAAATTACAAAAGGTTGACACATAATAAAGGTGATAACGGGGTAAAGTGAACCAGGTGAAAAGGAATAAGAAGGCAAAATACGACATGAAAATATGAATGATTATGTCCCTGCTGACCTTAGAGTAGACCAGGGTGAACAAAAAGGATGAATGTGCTGCTTTTGCACACATAGGTCAAGTTTTTTCTCATTAATCTCTATAGCTAAGAGATGTAATCGTGTCCCTAAAGGCAGATTGCATGGTACTTTACATACAATCCTAAATGACTCATCTATTTTGACGTGGTGTTTACTATCTACTAGATGAGACAAAACGGCATTATTTATTGATTTGGTTACACTTTTATCAAGCCAAACAGGAACATGTTCACGAGCGCGTAGGAATAAATTCTTCTGAGTTCGACCTATATACCTAGCTCTAGATGAGCAGTTGAACTTGTATGCACACATTGATGTGGCCAGCTTAGAATATTTGTCTTTGATGCACTGTGTCGGTACTGGTTTGGTTGAAAAACTGATGTGTAGTTCTGCAGCACTGAAAGTTCTTTCAACTGATCTGATCAACCTACGGCTTAATATGTCACTGCATATATCACCACCTTTGAACTGTACTCTTAAACAAGGCTTTTTCTTATTCACTTCTTTACAATATTGGCAAGAAAACCATTTTTTGTAGCATGGTACTTTTAGGATTTTCAGATTCATCTTCAGTACATACGCACCCTATTCTACAACTAAGCAGAAGCTATAGAGATTAATGAGAAAAAACTTGACCTATGTGTGCAAAAGCAGCACATTCATCCTTTTTGTTCACCCTGCTCTACTCTAAGGTCAGCATGGACATAATCATTCATATTTTCATGTCGTATTTTGCCTTCTTATTCCTTTTCACCTGGTTCACTTTACCCCGTTATCACCTTTATTATTATGTGTCAACCTTTTGTAATTTACACTAAGCTTATTATGTCTCTACTATTTTGTTACAGTTCACAATTCAACCTCTTTATTTTATCACTACACACTTCATATCAGTCAGTGTTCCCCATTTTTGGTATTTCTTTGCATGTGTTTTCTGGTAATCATTTTCCTCGTACACCATTGAATATAACTCACCTCCACCCCCACCCCAATGAAACTTACATTCTGTTGACTAGAAAAACACTAGCATGTCACTCATTTGTCTATTCACACTTTATCTTATGTTCTGAATGACTGCACATTTTCGTTATATGCGTTCATTTGACAATAAATATTAAATACCGAACTGTCACTCCATATTATACGTGTAGGCCAATACAGCTATGGATATAATTTTCACATGCCTTTAATGGCAATTGAATTGTAATATACATGGATCTATAAATGTAGAGTTTGAAGAAGAATTTATCGGTAAATTGAAAAGTAAATAAGTGGACGCTTATTGTGTTGTTCGCAATCCAATATTTGTTATTTCAGCTACACCGATGCCCACTAAAACTTATCGTTACTTGTTAGTACGACGTAGCACTACCATATGCAGGATTGTTAACAAACTGACACCAAGCAGGTGTTTTATGGTCTACTGCCTAAACTACAGAGTTAATACCAGGATCCCTTCAATAATATGAAAGCATTGTAAAGGACATTGAAGACGAAACAGATTCTGGATGGTACTGACAATCGATTATTCTAAGACTGCTTGCTTTCTTGATTTTCTTAAGCTTATTTTGCTTTCCAACTGATGATAATTTAGTAGTCTTCATTTGCGAAAGTTAAGGTAGATGTGTCAAGTAAGCTTTACAAACCCGAACTTCTTCAGCTCTCTGAGCTAAGTTAGCCCGGGTATATGGCTGTTAGGTTCAGCTCCAAACAAGCGAAACGGCAGTCCGATGCTTAGATCACTTCGACCTGTCTAACGAACACTACTACTCATCTTAATTAGTTTCATTTACTGCCATGAGTTATTCTTCTATTCATGGTATCCAGCAGATCACATAATGTGTTTAACGAGGCACAACCTTTCTAATTTTTTAAAGATCAAGGTGATCAACAATCTAAGCCAGTTCAGTCCAAGTAATTCTGTTTTCCAAACACTAACCTGTATCTCATCTTTTGGTTTCTATAACTAAAGGTTACTGAAGGTTCCATCTCTTGGTTCACTTCAGGCTTCAAATAGATTTTCCAATTTTACAGTGTCAATTGAAGCTGGACAGCAGAGCACCAGAGTGCAACTGCTCTTCAAAGCAATCAACTGGAAATATCACTTGTCTGTTCGGAAACATTATTCGTTATTTTCATCAACATCCTTTCTGAACACTACCTTTTAACAACAAGCCATAATAATGGATATTGTCCACTCAGATCTTATCATCGAAACAGATAACAACAACTAATTCATTTACAAACCAACTTTAACGTCATTAACTCCACAGAGAAATATGTTAGTTTACTTTCTCCTCAGTAAAGCCACAGAATAAAAATAAATGTGAATGTGACGTGCTTATATTTGCACAATCATGACAAAAACTGAACTATACAGCATTCGGGCTTCGACCTCTACTTAGCTCTTATCATCTTCAGAATCAATGCTATGATGGCCGCATTTTTCTAAATAAACATCATCAAATGAAGCTGTCACAGCATCCTTTTATGTAGATTACTTTGTGCGCTAGAGTATGCGACGTTTTAAAATACAATATATATATATATGCCGAACCTACAAGCTGATAAGTGCCTCACGTTTAGTTAACTTTATAGAACCTTCATCATATGGTATCACTTAATACTTCAGGAAATATATGATGCAACATCTACAGCCTACTCATGTTTTTTTTTTGCGTTTAATAATTAGATATCACAGCTGCAGAGTACTACATCACTATGCAGTATACCTGTGGTGAGTGCTACTTATAATCCGATATAAGTAGTACATCAGAAAGCGAATTCAGAGGAGTAACAATATGTTTTGCACACTGGAAAGAGCGATCAAAGAAGAGAACCATTTGATGCAGAATCCAAGAAGCTATCGGATGTGACGATATTTGACCAATTCGTCAAGGATGTGGTAAATGATGTGCAAATGGCAGTTTGAAAATATGGTATACCAAAATTTACCCATGTACAATACGTTTCACCAAATAAACATTCCTTGCAGTCTCCTTGGTCTTTTCTTCTTTACATACCTACTGCTTCTCAATGTCATAATTGGAAGGGATTAGAAAAATCTGAATGATCACGCATCTGGGCTTAGATTTCAGTCTTTTAATAACAACTTTTGTGTCAGATGACAAATAGATACTGAAACTGGTGTGTTCTTATTACTTTATTTTTTTAAATTTTGATTACAGCTTGATTCCATATCGTATTTTTTGGTACAGGTATGGAATTTTCAGCATGGCTATCGGTAGCCCAAATTTTACAAGCCGACCATAGATATCGGGTGTGCGTCGGCAGGGGATCGAACCCAGGAGCATGTGCATGGTCGGTGAGAGTCCTAACCACTGTGCCACCGACGCACATGTCTCATCAACGACAGCAAAGCATATTCACTGAGTATTAGTAAGTAATATACACCGAATATTCAGACATGATTGCCCTTCATATGGAATTTATCACCACTAAGCATAATTATGAGATTCAGGCTACAGTACGAATCAAAGAACTAAACAAAATAGAAAAATATATTTATATTTAGCTGAAGTAAGTGATAACACTTCTGTCACGAAACACCGAAAGTAATTAGTAGTCTGGAGGTAAACCTAAAATGAATGAATGGTTAGTAATAGAAAAAAAAAGAGGAGGATACCACTTACCGATACGAAGACGCGTATTTTTCCTGCGTTTTTCAGCCTCTCGAAGTTGAATCCTCTCGAATGAATCCTTAATACTTTTGCTAACTTTAACACAGTCACCACTGTATTGAGTATCAATGAAGTTTTTAAACTCCATTAGGTCCTGTAATCCTAATTCTATGCGAGTAAGTGGACGCCTTTGCATGGATATAAAATTTTATCAACAGCTGGAACAAATTAAAATTATTACATTATTTAATATAGTACACTAGTAAGAAATAGAAACGTTATAAGCTACTATACATAAGAGATGCAGTAAAAAAGGCCGATTGAATGTTGCACTAGTTATAAGTTCATACAAAAATAAAACTGCAAAATGAACAAAAATACGAGAAGTGATTTCGAAAGAACGAGGGCATAGCAGAAGTCATAAAACCATACCATTAGCAGTGTACTGCACTAGTGAGATCATGAGTTAAAGTGACTTCTAAACTCCTGAACTTAGATACATTGTTTAGGAGAAAAACACCGAATAACTACATATGTACCTTATGAATATGTAAAACTGGTCAGTTAATTTCTTGTGCGCTTACATTGCAAACAAAGTGAACTGCTTTTTAAAGCAAACGGAAAATTTAAATTTTATTCATCCTAACAACTGAAATTCTATATTCTCAGCTATACTGAAACATTTAATTCTGAATCTGAGTTCGTAAATTTGTTTCGAGGATTTCCTGAAGGTTTGAACTAGTAAATCTCAATGCTTTGAAACCTGGCAGCAAATAAACAGCACATATTTTCAACAGTGATAAACACAGCCATTTCGGACACTTAATGACACAAGAGAAATCAGAGAAAAGTTTAGTAAACCCCTCGGAGACACTTCTCGACAATATTAGAAAAATAACGACTCTGAAAATCAGTGTCGGTATTTCAAACGTTTTATAAATGGATGCCGACATTATCTAACAATTCACCACAAGATATCAGATTTATTGATTGAAGATAGAAGGCTTGGAGCCTATCTTAATCCCTTTCTAGTAAATTTCTGTGGTTGTCCAAACCCTTCTTGAACGAATAAGTAGGGGTTGCAGACACCACTTCTTCTGGGAGTCGGTTCCAAGAGTTTATGACTCGGTGTGAGAACCAGTACTCAACAGCAATATGATTTCTTCTTGGCTTTTGAACTCTCCTGCTATGTCCTCTAAGGTGTTCCGACCTGGTGGGAAGGAAAAGAGAGAATAGGTCAGGTCCGTAGTCATTATTTAACATTTTAAACATTGTGATTAAATCTCCTCTCTGCCTACGGTATGACAAGGAGAAGAGATTTAAACTGCCTAGTCTTTCCTCGTATGATAAGTTAGTCATGTTGAGAACCATACGTGTTGCCTTCCTTTGAATCCTTTCTAGAATATGTGAGTCCCCTTTAAGACAAGGGCTGGCGGCCTGGATGCAGTTTTCCAGTCCTAGTCTCACAAGAGATGTACATGAAGAAGTGAACATATCTCTGATGATTCTAATGAAGGCTCTGCGAATTGCCCATAATGACCTGAAACTACGTACAGCCACCGCGCGACAGTGTGCTGTAGTTTTTAAGTCGTGACTAACTATGACATCTAAGTCCAAGTGAGTCTGAACTGATGGAAGTGTAATTCCCTCTAGTTCGTAGGAGCTCGTGCTTGCTTGTCCAATGCGCATGGTTGCACATTTTGTCACATTTATCGGGAACATCCATTCTATGGACCACTCTGACAATTTGTTGAGGTCCTCTTGCAACGTGAAGGTATCACTGTTGCCCTTCAGCTCTCTCCAAATTTTTAAGTCATCTGCGTATAGGACCATAGGGGAGTCGGTGAGTAGAGATAACTCATTGATATACAAAATAAATAGGAGAGGTCCGAGTACCGTGCCTTGTGGCACTCCGCTGCGTACTTCTGTCCAAGAGGAGAGTTTCGAGTTGATCCTAACCCTCTGTCTCCTACCTATGAGGAATTTCCTGAGTCAGTTTAGTAATCTGTCTTTGATACCGAGACTTTCCAACTTCATGAGTAGTCTTTTGTGGGGTACTTTGTCAAAGGCTTTGCTGAAGTCTATGAAGACGACGTTAACAGGTCTTCTGTTGTCCCTGGATTTGACCCAGCTTTCTCTTGCAGTGAGAAGGTTTGACAGGCGTGAGAGGTTCCTTCAGAAGCCATGCTGTGCTCTTGATAATAAGCTTCTATTTTCTAGATATGCCATTATGCTTTTCTTGATGATTCTTTCCGGTGTCTTAATTAAAGTGCTGGTGAGACTGATAGGTCTGTAATTTGAAGGGCTTTGTTTTGATCCGCCCTTGTGGATGGAGGTTACTATGGCGTCTTTCCAGTCAGGCGGTAACACTCCATTTGGGAGAGAAAGATTGAAGATCGTAGTCAAAGGGCCGGCTATGTGGGCTGATAGCTCCTTGAGAAGCCTTGGATGAAGATTATCAGGACCCATTGATTTCCCTGCATCTAGTTTCCTTAGGCAGTTGAGCACGATGTCTTGGTCGATGTCAACGGAATCTTCTCCGTGTATTCCTCTGATGCAGCCAGAGCTGATCCTATAGGCAGTGATGACTCCTGTGTAAAGACTTGGGAGAAGTAGTCTGCCCTTGCTTCTGCTTTTTCTTGATCTTCTTCGATTGTGTCATTGTCAATAGTCAGGTTTGGGACACCATTGGATGTTTTATTCCTGAAGTTGACGTACGAGAAAATTTTCTTGGGTTGTGCCTTTGCATTTTGAGCCAGATGTGCTTCGAGCTTCATCCTCGATTGGCGGATTTCTGCAATAGCTTTATTCCTAGCAGTGCTATATAATTTCCTGGTCTCAGAAGTCTCAATTGTGGCAAACAAGTTCCAACATTTGTGTTTACGTCTGAGTAATTTACGAATCACTCGGTTTATCCAAGGGGGGGGGGCAATGTTTCTGACCCTTTGGGACAGACCAAGGGATGAAAAGTTTCAGTTACTTGGGCGTAAAGTTACTTAAATTGGCCTCTACTTGGGACTCTGGGTTGATGTACCAGTTTACTGAGTTGGCTGCTGAGACGATCGCATTTATATCAGCTTTTCAAACGTTTAGTCGAGCTGGGGTTTTTGCCCTTGCTGTGATCTTGAAAGTGAGCACAGCATGATCACTTCTTCCTAAAGGAGGAAGATGCTGTATGAGATCCACATCCTCACGGTGGAAGAACACTAGGTCCAGAGTTGAGGAGGAGTGCTGTGAGTCATAACGCGTGGGCTTAATGACATGTTGGACTAAGGCTAGCGATATACTAGATTCCAGCAGTTTATGATCAAAGGAGTTAACTGAAGATGGAGTTGTAAGGCTCGTCCAGTCAACTGTTGAGGCGTTGAAGTCGCCGACTACGAGACTTCGACATTTCGAAGTCCAGGAGCCTAGCTTCTCTATTAGGAATTCGTCTGCACTGCAGTCAGGACTGCGGTATATAGCAATGAGGTCAATGTCTTGGCCTATGCATTTAAGTCTGCAGCGTAGAAGTTCGCGAGTGCTTCGATACTACGCACGGTTAAGCATTTCTTGAGGTAGATGACTACCCCACCTGCTTTGCGGTTTAGTCGGTTCACCCTATGCACTTCGAAGTTTGACAGGTTAACTTCGTTGTCAGTGACATCGGGTGTGAGCCATGTCTCTGTGATGATAATTACATCCGGATTTCCGGAGTCTACCATGTTAACCACCTCAGTCCGTTTGTTCAACAGATTGCGGGCGTTTGTGTAGCAAACTGTCAATTCAGTTTGGTGCTTCCGCGGCCTACCTACAGAGGTTTCGGGGTCATTAAACTGCGAACTTGGACAACCCGAAAACCCTTAATCTTAAGGTTCTTTTCGCCATTTCGACGTCGTTCGCTTAATTGTAGGGCCGCAGACTGTCTTTTAACACGGTCTGCTAGGCTTAAGTCGACACGGACATATATGCCTGATCCTTTAAGAATTTGAGAGTTGCTCAGAATGGTATCCCTCTCTTCTTTAGAGTTTAGTACGACTTTGAGGAGACGTACAGGCTGACTTACTGTAGGGTCAGGCTTTTGGCCTATTCTATATACGCTATGTATAGTAATGCCTGATACTGTTTGTGGCAGTAGCTTGTCTGAAAGTTAAGGTCATGCTCAAATCTAGTCTTGGGATCGGGGGCCAGTGACTCTTCCACTTTGTGGAGAATGAGCAACCTGTCGGAGAGATCAGGTTTGCTTGCCGTGGCTTTCTTGCTCTGCGGCGTAAGTGTGTTTCTGTCCTTCGTGGGCGGTGTAGCTAATGTGTTATCCTTATCTCGCTTTTTGCGAGAGACTACGTTACGCCATTCATTGGCGTCCTCCTCGCTAATCGTAGTCGCTTTTATCTACCCGCTGTCCATCGGTGTGGATGAGGCTTGATCCACTAGTCCCTGGGCGATTTGAGCTGCAGGTTTTCGACCCCTGGTATGCCTCTTCTTTGTGGCAGTCTTTCCATTACTGTCACTGGAGGGCTTATCCAGTATCGTGGGGGCAGCCTGGGTGTCTGGAATGTGGTGAGTGCTCTTCTGTGCTGAAGGGCACTCATTTATTGACAGAGACGCATCGAGAACATGTGCTGTTTTGTCGATGACGCTAGTCACGCCATCGTCGTCTGAGCAATAGTCGGTGTTCTCCTGTAGTGGAGGACGCTTGCAGTCCATGAGCTTTAAAGCCCCACTGAGAGTGGCAATGGCTTCTATAATACGGAATTTGGTAGTACTACAACAGTCATTGCACAACCAGTTTGCTAGAGGTTTGCAGCAGCGTTTGTATGCTGCAGGAGTTAGGTTTGTGCACATACTGTGAAACCATCTCTTGCAGTTATCACATTGCATTCCCTCATCCACTGGGAATTGGCACATAACCCTTCCGCAGCGGTTCCTTTTGATCTGCATGCTCTCTAGAGCGAATTGGGGAAAAACGATTAAAATATATAACCTTTATAAATCAGTAAAAAGAAGCCAATGAGTGCACAAAAATGGATAGAAATAACTATTAAGTTATAAGAACACAACTCCTATAATTTAAATAGACTCAGATCTGAAAAGTAAACTAACTTTGATCAGAATAAACTGATTTAAAATTAATCTGTAGACTTTACCAGAGTATAACACAACAAAAGCCAAAACTAAGCAGGATCGTGTTGGCTTTTGTTGTGTTATACTCTGGTAAAGTCTACAGATTAATTTTAAATCAGTTTATTCTGATCAAAGTTAGTTTACTTTTCAGATCTGAGTCTATTTAAATTATAGGAGTTGTGTTCTTATAACTTAATAGTTATTTCTATCCATTTTTGTGCACTCATTGGCTTCTTTTTACTGATTTATAAAGGTTATATATTTTAATCGTTTTTCCCCAATTCGCTCTAGAGAGCATGCAGATCAAAAGGAACCGCTGCGGAAGGGTTATGTGCCAATTCCCAGTGGATGAGGGAATGCAATGTGATAACTGCAAGAGATGGTTTCACAGTATGTGCACAAACCTAACTCCTGCAGCATACAAACGCTGCTGCAAACCTCTAGCAAACTGGTTGTGCAATGACTGTTGTAGTACTACCAAATTCCGTATTACAGAAGCCATTGCCACTCTCAGTGGGGCTTTAAAGCTCATGGACTGCAAGCGTCCTCCACTACAGGAGAACACCGACTATTGCTCAGACGACGATGGCGTGACTAGCGTCATCGACAAAACAGCACATGTTCTCGATGCGTCTCTGTCAATAAATGAGTGCCCTTCAGCACAGAAGAGCACTCACCACATTCCAGACACCCAGGCTGCCCCCACGATACTGGATAAGCCCTCCAGTGACAGTAATGGAAAGACTGCCACAAAGAAGAGGCATACCAGGGGTCGAAAACCTGCAGCTCAAATCGCCCAGGGACTAGTGGATCAAGCCTCATCCACACCGATGGACAGCGGGTAGATAAAAGCGACTACGATTAGCGAGGAGGACGCCAATGAATGGCGTAACGTAGTCTCTCGCAAAAAGCGAGATAAGGATAACACATTAGCTACACCGCCCACGAAGGACAGAAACACACTTACGCCGCAGAGCAAGAAAGCCACGGCAAGCAAACCTGATCTCTCCGACAGGTTGCTCATTCTCCACAAAGTGGAAGAGTCACTGGCCCCCGATCCCAAGACTAGATTTGAGCATGACCTTAACTTTCAGACAAGCTACTGCCACAAACAGTATCAGGCATTACTATACATAGCGTATATAGAATAGGCCAAAAGCCTGACCCTACAGTAAGTCAGCCTGTACGTCTCCTCAAAGTCGTACTAAACTCTAAAGAAGAGAGGGATACCATTCTGAGCAACTCTCAAATTCTTAAAGGATCAGGCATATATGTCCGTGTCGACTTAAGCCTAGCAGACCGTGTTAAAAGACAGTCTGCGGCCCTACAATTAAGCGAACGACGTCGAAATGGCGAAAAGAACCTTAAGATTAAGGGTTTTCGGGTTGTCCAAGTTCGCAGTTTAATGACCCCGAAACCTCTGTAGGTAGGCCGCGGAAGCACCAAACTGAATTGACAGTTTGCTACACAAACGCCCGCAATCTGTTGAACAAACGGACTGAGGTGGTTAACATGGTAGACTCCGGAAATCCGGATGTAATTATCATCACAGAGACATGGCTCACACCCGATGTCACTGACAACGAAGTTAACCTGTCAAACTTCGAAGTGCATAGGGTGAACCGACTAAACCGCAAAGCAGGTGGGGTAGTCATCTACCTCAAGAAATGCTTAACCGTGCGTAGTATCGAAGCACTCGCGAACTTCTACGCTGCAGACTTAAATGCATAGGCCAAGACATTGACCTCATTGCTATATACCGCAGTCCTGACTGCAGTGCAGACGAATTCCTAATAGAGAAGCTAGGCTCCTGGACTTCGAAATGTCGAAGTCTCGTAGTCGGCGACTTCAACGCCTCAACAGTTGACTGGACGAGCCTTACAACTCCATCTTCAGTTAACTCCTTTGATCATAAACTGCTGGAATCTAGTATATCGCTAGCCTTAGTCCAACATGTCATTAAGCCCACGCGTTATGACTCACAGCACTCCTCCTCAACTCTGGACCTAGTGTTCTTCCACCGTGAGGATGTGGATCTCATACAGCATCTTCCTCCTTTAGGAAGAAGTGATCATGCTGTGCTCACTTTCAAGATCACAGCAAGGGCAAAAACCCCAGCTCGACTAAACGTTTGAAAAGCTGATATAAATGCGATCGTCTCAGCAGCCAACTCAGTAAACTGGTACATCAACCCAGAGTCCCAAGTAGAGGCCTCATAGAACCAATTTAAGTAACTTTACGCCCAAGTAACTGAAACTTTTCATCCCTTGGTCTGTCCCAAAGGGTCAGAAACATTGCCCCCCCCCCCTTGGATAAACCGAGTGATTCGTAAATTACTCAGACGTAAACACAAATGTTGGAACTTGTTTGCCACAATTGAGACTTCTGAGACCAGGAAATTATATAGCACTGCTAGGAATAAAGCTATTGCAGAAATCCGCCAATCGAGGATGAAGCTCGAAGCACATCTGGCTCAAAATGCAAAGGCACAACCCAAGAAAATTTTCTCGTACGTCAACTTCAGGAATAAAACATCCAATGGTGTCCCAAACCTGACTATTGACAATGACACAATCGAAGAAGATCAAGAAAAAGCAGAAGCAAGGGCAGACTACTTCTCCCAAGTCTTTACACAGGAGTCATCACTGCCTATAGGATCAGCTCTGGCTGCATCAGAGGAATAACGGAGAAGATTCCGTTGACATCGACCAAGACATCGTGCTCAACTGCCTAAGGAAACTAGATGCAGGGAAATCAATGGGTCCTGATAATCTTCATCCAAGGCTTCTCAAGGAGCTATCAGCCCACATAGCCGGCCCTTTGACTACGATCTTCAATCTTTCTCTCCCAAATGGAGTGTTACCGCCTGACTGGAAAGACGCCATAGTAACCTCCATCCACAAGGGCGGATCAAAACAAAGCCCTTCAAATTACAGACCTATCAGTCTCACCAGCACTTTAATTAAGACACCGGAAAGAATCATCAAGAAAAGCATAATGGCATATCTAGAAAATAGAAGCTTATTATCAAGAGCACAGCATGGCTTCTGAAGGAACCTCTCACGCCTGTCAAACCTTCTCACTGCAAGAGAAAGCTGGGTCAAATCCAGGGACAACAGAAGACCTGTTAACGTCGTCTTCATAGACTTCAGCAAAGCCTTTGACAAAGTACCCCACAAAAGACTACTCATGAAGTTGGAAAGTCTCGGTATCAAAGACAGATTACTAAACTGACTCAGGAAATTCCTCATAGGTAGGAGACAGAGGGTTAGGATCAACTCGAAACTCTCCTCTTGGACAGAAGTACGCAGCGGAGTGCCACAAGGCACGGTACTCGGACCTCTCCTATTTATTTTGTATATCAATGAGTTATCTCTACTCACCGACTCCCCTATGGTCCTATACGCAGATGACTTAAAAATTTGGAGAGAGCTGAAGGGCAACAGTGATACCTTCACGTTGCAAGAGGACCTCAACAAATTGTCAGAGTGGTCCATAGAATGGATGTTCCCGATAAATGTGACAAAATGTGCAACCATGCGCATTGGACAAGCAAGCACGAGCTCCTACGAACTAGAGGGAATTACACTTCCATCAGTTCAGACTCACTTGGACTTAGGTGTCATAGTTAGTCACGACTTAAAAACTACAGCACACTGTCGCGCGGTGGCTGTACGTAGTTTCAGGTCATTATGGGCAATTCGCAGAGCCTTCATTAGAATCATCAGAGATATGCTCACTTCTTCATGTACATCTCTTGTGAGACTAGGACTGGAAAACTGCTTCCAGGCCGCCAGCCCTTGTCTTAAAGGGGACTCACATATTCTAGAAAGGATTCAAAGGAAGGCAACACGTATGGTTCTCAACATGACTAACTTATCATACGAGGAAAGACTAGGCAGTTTAAATCTCTTCTCCTTGTCATACCGTAGGCAGAGAGGAGATTTAATCACAATGTTTAAAATGTTAAATAATGACTACGGACCTGACCTATTCTCTCTTTTCCTTCCCACCAGGTCGGAACACCTTAGAGGACATAGCAGGAGAGTTCAAAAGCCAAGAAGAAATCATATTGCTGTTGAGTACTGGTTCTCACACCGAGTCATAAACTCTTGGAACCGACTCCCAGAAGAAGTGGTGTCTGCAACCCCTACTTATTCGTTCAAGAAGGGTTTGGACAACCACAGAAATTTACTAGAAAGGGATTAAGATAGGCTCCAAGCCTTCTATCGTCAACCAATATATGTGAGTCTCAATTGAAAGTTTATCTGTAGACTTTTGGAGTGTATAAGACAACAAAAGCCAGAACAATACAAGAGCGTGTAAAATTCACTCTCCTTTCAATGTACGCGCGTTGGGTGATCTAGTAGAAAAGGATTTACATAGGCCTCAAGCCTCCTATCCTGAACCAACAAATCAGAAATCGTAATGATAATACTCCATACATTTTAAAGATTATTTTCGAAGAAAAGGTATGATCGGATAACAAGTGGAACCAATGCCGATGATTTGCGGAAAGTATATATTTCTGAGACTATATCAACTTGGTATACGGACTAGCAAACAAATATTGAGACAAACCAATTCTAAATTTGAGAAGAATATGACCAAAAGGGAGGCTATCAGGGACCGGTGATATAATAATAAATTGCATAATGACACACCATTTCTTAAGACTGTACGCAATCCTTAACTACAGAGGAAAATGTGACAAAAACAACCACTGAATACATTCTTAATTAGCTGACCGAATAATCCACCGACTGATACAAATTTAAGAATATATACAGATCTTAAACCAGTTAAGTCGTATTTGATTCTACAAAATGACTATAGGTCTAAAGTCGATAAAGAGAATCAACAGCCTGCGTGATACGAAAAACATACAACTTTTGTAACGCAACACTTTAAGGTTCCGCCTCTAAACTTAACGTCTACGACTCCTCATATTCAGATTTCAGACTTCAGATTTACTGACTGAAGATAGAAGGCTTGGAGCCTATCTTAATCCCTTTCTAGTAAATTTCTGTGGTTGTCCAAACCCTTCTTGAACGAATAAGTAGGGGTTGCAGACACCACTTCTTCTGGGAGTCGGTTCCAAGAGTTTATGACTCGGTGTGAGAACCAGTACTCAACAGCAATATGATTTCTTCTTGGCTTTTGAACTCTCCTGCTATGTCCTCTAAGGTGTTCCGACCTGGTGGGAAGGAAAAGAGAGAATAGGTCAGGTCCGTAGTCATTATTTAACATTTTAAACATTGTGATTAAATCTCCTCTCTGCCTACGGTATGACAAGGAGAAGATATTTAAACTGCCTACTCTTTCCTCGTATGATAAGTTAGTCATGTTGAGAACCATACGTGTTGCCTTCCTTTGAATCCTTTCTAGAATATGTGAGTCCCCTTTAAGACAAGGGCTGGCGGCCTGGAAGCAGTTTTCCAGTCCTAGTCTCACAAGAGATGTACATGAAGAAGTGAGCATATCTCTGATGATTCTAATGAAGGCTCTGCGAATTGCCCATAATGACCTGAAACTACGTACAGCCACCGCGCGACAGTGTGCTGTAGTTTTTAAGTCGTGACTAACTATGACATCTAAGTCCAAGTGAGTCTGAACTGATGGAAGTGTAATTCCCTCTAGTTCGTAGGAGCTCGTGCTTGCTTGTCCAATGCGCATGGTTGCACATTTTGTCACATTTATCGGGAACATCCATTCTATGGACCACTCTGACAATTTGTTGAGGTCCTCTTGCAACGTGAAGGTATCACTGTTGCCCTTCAGCTCTCTCCAAATTTTTAAGTCATCTGCGTATAGGACCATAGGGGAGTCGGTGAGTAGAGATAACTCATTGATATACAAAATAAATAGGAGAGGTCCGAGTACCGTGCCTTGTGGCACTCCGCTGCGTACTTCTGTCCAAGAGGAGAGTTTCGAGTTGATCCTAACCCTCTGTCTCCTACCTATGAGGAATTTCCTGAGTCAGTTTAGTAATCTGTCTTTGATACCGAGACTTTCCAACTTCATGAGTAGTCTTTTGTGGGGTACTTTGTCAAAGGCTTTGCTGAAGTCTATGAAGACGACGTTAACAGGTCTTCTGTTGTCCCTGGATTTGACCCAGCTTTCTCTTGCAGTGAGAAGGTTTGACAGGCGTGAGAGGTTCCTTCAGAAGCCATGCTGTGCTCTTGATAATAAGCTTCTATTTTCTAGATATGCCATTATGCTTTTCTTGATGATTCTTTCCGGTGTCTTAATTAAAGTGCTGGTGAGACTGATAGGTCTGTAATTTGAAGGGCTTTGTTTTGATCCGCCCTTGTGGATGGAGGTTACTATGGCGTCTTTCCAGTCAGGCGGTAACACTCCATTTGGGAGAGAAAGATTGAAGATCGTAGTCAAAGGGCCGGCTATGTGGGCTGATAGCTCCTTGAGAAGCCTTGGATGAAGATTATCAGGACCCATTGATTTCCCTGCATCTAGTTTCCTTAGGCAGTTGAGCACGATGTCTTGGTCGATGTCAACGGAATCTTCTCCGTGTATTCCTCTGATGCAGCCAGAGCTGATCCTATAGGCAGTGATGACTCCTGTGTAAAGACTTGGGAGAAGTAGTCTGCCCTTGCTTCTGCTTTTTCTTGATCTTCTTCGATTGTGTCATTGTCAATAGTCAGGTTTGGGACACCATTGGATGTTTTATTCCTGAAGTTGACGTACGAGAAAATTTTCTTGGGTTGTGCCTTTGCATTTTGAGCCAGATGTGCTTCGAGCTTCATCCTCGATTGGCGGATTTCTGCAATAGCTTTATTCCTAGCAGTGCTATATAATTTCCTGGTCTCAGAAGTCTCAATTGTGGCAAACAAGTTCCAACATTTGTGTTTACGTCTGAGTAATTTACGAATCACTCGGTTTATCCAAGGGGGGGGGCAATGTTTCTGACCCTTTGGGACAGACCAAGGGATGAAAAGTTTCAGTTACTTGGGCGTAAAGTTACTTAAATTGGTTCTATGAGGCCTCTACTTGGGACTCTGGGTTGATGTACCAGTTTACTGAGTTGGCTGCTGAGACGATCGCATTTATATCAGCTTTTCAAACGTTTAGTCGAGCTGGGGTTTTTGCCCTTGCTGTGATCTTGAAAGTGAGCACAGCATGATCACTTCTTCCTAAAGGAGGAAGATGCTGTATGAGATCCACATCCTCACGGTGGAAGAACACTAGGTCCAGAGTTGAGGAGGAGTGCTGTGAGTCATAACGCGTGGGCTTAATGACATGTTGGACTAAGGCTAGCGATATACTAGATTCCAGCAGTTTATGATCAAAGGAGTTAACTGAAGATGGAGTTGTAAGGCTCGTCCAGTCAACTGTTGAGGCGTTGAAGTCGCCGACTACGAGACTTCGACATTTCGAAGTCCAGGAGCCTAGCTTCTCTATTAGGAATTCGTCTGCACTGCAGTCAGGACTGCGGTATATAGCAATGAGGTCAATGTCTTGGCCTATGCATTTAAGTCTGCAGCGTAGAAGTTCGCGAGTGCTTCGATACTACGCACGGTTAAGCATTTCTTGAGGTAGATGACTACCCCACCTGCTTTGCGGTTTAGTCGGTTCACCCTATGCACTTCGAAGTTTGACAGGTTAACTTCGTTGTCAGTGACATCGGGTGTGAGCCATGTCTCTGTGATGATAATTACATCCGGATTTCCGGAGTCTACCATGTTAACCACCTCAGTCCGTTTGTTCAACAGATTGCGGGCGTTTGTGTAGCAAACTGTCAATTCAGTTTGGTGCTTCCGCGGCCTACCTACAGAGGTTTCGGGGTCATTAAACTGCGAACTTGGACAACCCGAAAACCCTTAATCTTAAGGTTCTTTTCGCCATTTCGACGTCGTTCGCTTAATTGTAGGGCCGCAGACTGTCTTTTAACACGGTCTGCTAGGCTTAAGTCGACACGGACATATATGCCTGATCCTTTAAGAATTTGAGAGTTGCTCAGAATGGTATCCCTCTCTTCTTTAGAGTTTAGTACGACTTTGAGGAGACGCACAGGCTGACTTACTGTAGGGTCAGGCTTTTGGCCTATTCTATATACGCTATGTATAGTAATGCCTGATACTGTTTGTGGCAGTAGCTTGTCTGAAAGTTAAGGTCGTGCTCAAATCTAGTCTTGGGATCGGGGGCCAGTGACTCTTCCACTTTGTGGAGAATGAGCAACCTGTCGGAGAGATCAGGTTTGCTTGCCGTGGCTTTCTTGCTCTGCGGCGTAAGTGTGTTTCTGTCCTTCGTGGGCGGTGTAGCTAATGTGTTATCCTTATCTCGCTTTTTGCGAGAGACTACGTTACGCCATTCATTGGCGTCCTCCTCGCTAATCGTAGTCGCTTTTATCTACCCGCTGTCCATCGGTGTGGATGAGGCTTGATCCACTAGTCCCTGGGCGATTTGAGCTGCAGGTTTTCGACCCCTGGTATGCCTCTTCTTTGTGGCAGTCTTTCCATTACTGTCACTGGAGGGCTTATCCAGTATCGTGGGGGCAGCCTGGGTGTCTGGAATGTGGTGAGTGCTCTTCTGTGCTGAAGGGCACTCATTTATTGACAGAGACGCATCGAGAACATGTGCTGTTTTGTCGATGACGCTAGTCACGCCATCGTCGTCTGAGCAATAGTCGGTGTTCTCCTGTAGTGGAGGACGCTTGCAGTCCATGAGCTTTAAAGCCCCACTGAGAGTGGCAATGGCTTCTATAATACGGAATTTGGTAGTACTACAACAGTCATTGCACAACCAGTTTGCTAGAGGTTTGCAGCAGCGTTTGTATGCTGCAGGAGTTAGGTTTGTGCACATACTGTGAAACCATCTCTTGCAGTTATCACATTGCATTCCCTCATCCACTGGGAATTGGCACATAACCCTTCCGCAGCGGTTCCTTTTGATCTGCATGCTCTCTAGAGCGAATTGGGGAAAAACGATTAAAATATATAACCTTTATAAATCAGTAAAAAGAAGCCAATGAGTGCACAAAAATGGATAGAAATAACTATTAAGTTATAAGAACACAACTCCTATAATTTAAATAGACTCAGATCTGAAAAGTAAACTAACTTTGATCAGAATAAACTGATTTAAAATTAATCTGTAGACTTTACCAGAGTATAACACAACAAAAGCCAAAACTAAGCAGGATCGTGTTGGCTTTTGTTGTGTTATACTCTGGTAAAGTCTACAGATTAATTTTAAATCAGTTTATTCTGATCAAAGTTAGTTTACTTTTCAGATCTGAGTCTATTTAAATTATAGGAGTTGTGTTCTTATAACTTAATAGTTATTTCTATCCATTTTTGTGCACTCATTGGCTTCTTTTTACTGATTTATAAAGGTTATATATTTTAATCGTTTTTCCCCAATTCGCTCTAGAGAGCATGCAGATCAAAAGGAACCGCTGCGGAAGGGTTATGTGCCAATTCCCAGTGGATGAGGGAATGCAATGTGATAACTGCAAGAGATGGTTTCACAGTATGTGCACAAACCTAACTCCTGCAGCATACAAACGCTGCTGCAAACCTCTAGCAAACTGGTTGTGCAATGACTGTTGTAGTACTACCAAATTCCGTATTATAGAAGCCATTGCCACTCTCAGTGGGGCTTTAAAGCTCATGGACTGCAAGCGTCTTCCACTACAGGAGAACACCGACTATTGCTCAGACGACGATGGCGTGACTAGCGTCATCGACAAAACAGCACATGTTCTCGATGCGTCTCTGTCAATAAATGAGTGCCCTTCAGCACAGAAGAGCACTCACCACATTCCAGACACCCAGGCTGCCCCCACGATACTGGATAAGCCCTCCAGTGACAGTAATGGAAAGACTGCCACAAAGAAGAGGCATACCAGGGGTCGAAAACCTGCAGCTCAAATCGCCCAGGGACTAGTGGATCA